CTGTGTAGCATTGATCAGTGCCTGGAATCCAGATCCGCAGAGGCGATTCACCGTTAGAGCTCCTACATTCTGAGGAACACCGCTTTTCAACCCGATATGTCGCGTCAGGTATATTCCATCCTTAGAGCTTGAAACGACATTACCTGAAGACATAATTTAGGGGAAGGACATGGGAAAAAATGGAAGGTAGAGACAAGAAAGGAAAAGAGCTCGGCGTTCATCATCACCAGTGAGAAGTGGCGTTCATAGTGGAGCAGTTCAGAACACCCGGGATACGGCAAGAGCGGGAAAAGGGACGTCGAAAAGGATGGGAAGCGTTACTTCTGCGTCACAACGTGTCAGGCGAGGTAGACGTTGCAAGTGGAGTGAGGTACGCGGTATTTGCACAAGGACCCAATCCAACTGACGTGGCGGTGCTGCGTCTGCACCTCTCAAGTCATGTAGCACATAGTGCCTGGGTCGGTCTGGCCAAGTAGCTAGGAAATACTCTGCTAGGGCGCGTAATACCGCGGCCAAGAAAAAACGCTTTAGTCCTCATTGAAAATGGTGTCATGTGCGCGGCATTCGCATGAAGACGCAAGTGATTCAACGTGGCAAAGCTACAGTGGGGCAGTTCGGCGACGGAAGGCATTTTGCACTTTACTTCCATCGACGTGGCGAGCCACCTAGAGAGCCTTTTCTTCAGTTGACAGGTTTTACCATGGTGGCTCGACGAGCTTGCTCCAGCTTCAAGAGTTCACAGGTTTCACCAGAGTGAGACTTGTAAACCGGAACTAGTGAAGCAGCGAAGTGCAAAATGCCCCCCACCCGTCGCTGAACTGCGCCGTGTTTCACTGTGTCAGTCTGGGCACGATGACGCGTCTCGGATTTCTTGAACCCTGCTACCCCTGCACCTCTGCACGACTTCGCTATTCGGCGTCCGTGCGTGTTGCTCACAGTTCCTGTCCGGTGACCATTACATTTCGATACTCAACGCGTCCCTTTTGCTTTAGCTTACATTTTTTATTGCTTTGACCGAATTCTTGCGGAGCATATTCCGATTTCGAAGTAGAAAGAATCCAAGACGATGCACTCGCACCGCTTCGCATCAAAATGAGACAGAGAAACGAAAAAACAAACGGACGAGAGGGGCCAGCTGTTGGAGGGTGTGCGGTGACACGCGGCACATAACGTCAACTGGCTAGTACTTCTCAGCTACTTGGTGTTCTGGATTGCCACCAGAACCTGCCGGTGCACCCTTTTATGACTGCCTGATTGATATGTATAACCCATAGGGAACATTGAGACATGTGATTATGACCCGTAGGTAAACGGTTAGATACTCGATGCGCGACCTCTCCTGTATTGAGAGGCACGCCCAGATTAAAGGCCGATATTCGCATAAAGATAAGTGCTATGATCGCCAAGATAGTGTTGAGGACGATCCGAAGGCTGATTTATGAGGCCTGCGCTAGCCAGCTTTCAAAATGTAAAATGGCCAGAAGACTCGCTAGAGCTCGACTCAATTAGGCCCAATGCGACACCCCTTTTAGGCCCATGCCGACCTCACGGCTGCTTAAGTATCTAGCTTATGCAGCCACTATGCTATCCTTTCTCCCATAACATTTGGGACTCGCTTTAATCTACCCGCAGCTTTTCGTCCCCGCTCTAAAGAAAAACTCTAGCACTTTATGCCGCCCTATTTGCGGGTTACGTTCCCGCAATTTGCGTCGCGAAACTGTGCCATTTAAGTGTGCATTCTCACCACGATCCACGACACCGGAGACCCATCCCGTCTCTACTAGTATGCATTCGCCACACCTCCACCCGAGACGACCGGCGTCTCGACTAACTAAGACCACCCCCCCGTCTCAACGTATACTGTAATTCCATCAACATACAACAAACCAACCCCCCGTCTCGTAATAAAAATACATAAAACCTCTACAGTTGGCACACTGTAGCAGTTTCATGAGGAACCAATTAGGTCTGGAGCGAATGTCGCGCATGCCACGTGCAATTGCAATGCCGCGTCACCCAGCGTGGACCTCCCAACCGGCACCCCTTGATGGGCTGTGTCCAAAATTCGTTAAAATGATTGAATAAGGGTTAGGCACCGCCTCTACTGCATGTCACAAAAGTAGGTATAGTGTAGTTCGCTGCGGACGGTTGGGCGTGTCCGTGCGGCTGCGCTTGGCGCGGTGCCAAACTCGTTCTACACCAGTTGTTGAAGCGGGCAAGTGACAATACTGTATCATATCCTTCGTATTACTAGTCTTCTACCACTTTTTGTCGCAGACGCTCTTCAACAAGAAGGCAGAGAACGGCTTTGATAGGGTGACACACTCATACTGGCTGACACGCCCAACCGTCCGCAGAGAACTAGAGTGTAAGTCAGTAAAAAGTACGTAAAAAACGCAGTGCAATGTTTACAAACTAAGATTTGAACCAGGAACTACTGCAAAGTCATCATTCTGGATTGGCTGGTGTTCCGCGTTGTGCTACAGCTAACCCTTGGAGGAGTTGATGTGAAGGGGCAGTTGTGTGCCCTCCTCCTAATCTCCCCCCCCCACACACACACCGAACTGCTGTGCTCACATTTGACGCTAGTGACAAGTACCTACAGGTTAGGTTTTCAACTTGTCCTTTCTTGAAATCCCTAGTCCACCTCCAACGTGTTAAGACGTGTCAGGCTGCAGAGCGTGTGATCAAAACAACACAAAAAGACGTCAGCTGCTGGAGTCAGATCGTTCTGGCAATTTCGAACAGTATTTTAATATACAACTCGGTGAGTAACTCTTGGAACTATTATCTTGCGCTTGCAAATTCTGACCCCAATATCTAATTTGGCTCCCCTACGTTCCCAAACAGACCAGTGGCAGGCCGCCCTTTACCGAAGCCCTGTTACTCATATTGCACCATTCTAGCGCCCTAGTTCTTCCGTTTCTTTTGTAGGAGTTTTTCTATTCTCTATTCTATTGGACATCACCAGATCAATTTGGTAAATCCGATTTACGGCGAAGAATTTCGCGCTATGCACGCGGCATTCACTTGACTCAGTTCGGAAGCAGGACTGCTTCCGTTGCGGCCTGGATTTCCTGACCCGCGTGTAATTAGGATATGCTTTAACAAATCCCATTCACAGGTGCGGAAGAATGCAGCTAACACCTTCCACTGAGCATGATTGCTTACTTTCTAGATAAATCAAACACCAAATCGGTCTGGTGCATATTGTTGAGCATTGTTGTGCAGAGCACAAAATGCTTAACAATAATTTATGTAATTTGGAATAGTTACGTAGTTTTCTTCCGTCTGAAAAGCCCTTTCCTTTACATGTACGGGGAAGAATCTCTCGAGCTAGTTACCGCCCAGGCTGGAGCTCCTTCCCGCACTTTGCGTCCCGAAAATCGTCGTCCCCATCAGGTTCACAAGGTGCTAAAAGTGTTGGAAGGGGACCATACTACCGCGTCTCTATATCCCTTTCCCAAGAAGGCAGGCTAGGAGCGCAAATGACCAGAGTCGCCTAGCGATAGTCCCGCAGAGCAGGCATAGTCTTTAGGCACTGTCACACTCTGGGGCCCGCATCGACTGGCGGTTGGGTGCAAGAACTGGCGGTTGGGCGAAGAGCCTGGCGGTTGGGCGAAAGGGTTTTGATACGAATCGACGGGCGTTTCGCCAAACCGCGACGTTTTTCGCCTTCGACGAAACGCTAGCTCGATCGCCGTGGCGTTTTTCGAAATCGATACGCATCTATTGCTTTTCGCCCAACCGCCGAACCGCGGCGGTTCGGCGAAACTAGCGGTTGGCGATTCTCCGATCGATGACTATTTTTTGCTTTTCTCCCAACCGCCGTTTCGTCAGGTCGCAGACTGTGTACAATGCCTTACTAGGTGAAACCCTTGATAAGGGGATGAGAAGTGAAGGCACTGGCCAGTTATCCCCTCTCCCCCCCCCAAGTACGATTGTCACGGTCATTTCTTCCAGTCCTAACTATCGTCAAGAACCAAACAAATTCGAAAAAAAACAGTGTGTGAAGCTCCTAACATCTTGTAGCTTTAGAAACTGCATTGTACAAAATTGGAATTACCGTAAAACGGCGGATTACTGCTCCAAAAGGTCACGATATAGTGTATCGTTTGATTTGAAAGGACTCACCAAAGATAACATGATCGATATTATCTGCTTTGACTCCGGCATGCTGTAGAGCTGCGACTGTAGCGATAACACCAAGGTCAGTGGCCGAGTGGTTTTTCAGTTTTCCTCCGAAAGTGCCAAATGCTGTTCGTTTTGCACCCACAATGAAAACACCTGGAAACAAATACTCAGTACCTACGCTTGGTGAGATCAGTAAAATGCAAAGTACTAGTAAGCTTAACAACTGACCGGTCTTTGTGGCCATTACCGCTTGCTCTCCGGATTAGTTAGTAAGCGGCTGAAATGCAAAAAGAGAAATAAAGGCTGCTAATTTTAATTTAATTAAGTCAGACATCACAAAAGAGTGGAGTAATTTGCAAGGAATCAACAATGATGCAATGACCAGTGAGTGTTCGATACGAGAGAGAACCGATAACGGGGTCAAAGTACAAAAAGCACGTGTCCACCATGGCTCGTTGTGTTGGCGCACGAACACCCACCGTTCAGGCGTATTGATGGGTTTGGATTCCGGCATTTAATTGACTTGAATCAAGGCCATCCTCCCGTGCAAATGAGGGGGGGGGGAATTCTGCAAAATACGACCCCCTTGAAATTTCCTCCTCTGGAACGATCATTCTTTCCATCTTACCTACAATCTTTCTGAAATTTCCCAACTTGCTATCACTTTTCCGGGTGAGACGGACAAAACAATCGTAAAGTGTTGCGTCATCGCGCGCGACGTACTGTGCGGCAGTGCGCGGCAGGTTCTCCATTTCTTCTAGTTTGTCGTAGGAGCAACGAAACTCACATTTGTC